ACCAATTATCAGAAGAAATAATTTTTTACTAAAGTAGTTCTTTAGTTAATCAAGTTTCCATAGAAATGTCTAATTTTTTTATTTAATGAAGTCGAAATTGACGTGTGCAAAATTCTACGGTAGGTTAACAATGAAATAAAAGAGAAAACAAATGTTGAAAATGTAACTTTTCATATAACTTAGTGACAGATAAGGCTCGTAGACACTTCTTTGACTAACTGCATACAAATCTTACCATAGACTTTTCTAAAAAAAAAAAAAAAAAACAAGATTATAATAGTTTAAAAAATTATGATTTTAATGGTTACAAAAAAGTAATAGATCAACAGACATTCTAGAAAGATATTTACGTGCATAAACTTGCATATAAATTTAATCTCGAAAAGTAAATACAATCTCATCTTGTTTTCGTTCGATGAAGATGCAGCTCTTAATTTACTATCGTACCATATGTTCCATACTGTTTTATTAAGATATATATATGTATGTAATTTTAATATATTATCCAAATTATGCAGATATTTGTTTTGAGTGGGCCCTGGCGAGGCATCCCAAATTTTCAGCACTCTTTAATAAAGAACCACCTTAAATAATCAAAGAATATTTCAAAATATTTGTAATTGAGACTAATAAAAGGAAGGATGCTTCGAAACATTTGTAGCATCAAGTAGATCATAGCCAAAGTTTCAACAATATGTGTTGCGTACCAATGTAAAACTCATATATTACGTTATAATGTATATGCCATTTTTGACGCAAGCAATATGCGTTATATAATTAAACTTTATGCCATGCTTTACATTCCTCAATAAAATTTCGATTTTTTTTTTATTTCGCTTTTAACAGATAATTTCATGCGCTAATTATTTTATTAACATGATAATTCAGATTCAAATTGACTAGTGATACACAAAAAATTTGCACTAGAGCTATAATAATTGCATAAAATTATATTTTAATTTATGCGACATTTAATGCGGCTTGAATCGTTTCTGGGAAAATGTTAATGTTCGATTTGATATTTAGGATGTCAAATAGCTATTTCATTGGTAAAATCTTTAGATTACGTGAAATTAGATTTAAAATAATCTTACATTTAAATTGTCTTTCTCTAATTTTAAATCTTATTTAAATTTTATATACATTAAATATAAAATTTAATTATTAGTTTGATAAATATAAGTATTAAGATTATATTTTAAATCTAATTTTTTAGGTATAATATTATAAGATTTGATTAATAAAATAATCATATATTATATATCATATATCTTTTTAAATATAAGATCTTAATTATATAAAAAATACAGTCTCGAGATTTGCTTTACTGGATGAAATCTTAACCCTCCGGCAATGTTTGAATTTAAAAAGTTTTTCGAATGGCTATCTCGTCGGAGTTCAGGGTATCAATAATGAAACTTTTTTCCTAGGATGAAAAATGAAAAGTGAAAAATTTCTCTATTAACTTCAATGATTAAAATTTTCACTTTTCACTTTCCATCCTAGGGATAAAGTTTCATGATTGATACCCAGCTGTTGTGGGCTGCGTAAACATGCAAGGATAAAACGACGCAATAGCGTTGACAGTGCAACTTAAGATGTTATTAAGCAGTGCGAAAGCACCCATAAGTCCGGATCTACAATGGGTGTTTTAAGTTTTAAGCCGTAAGAAATTGACCAGTTAAGTCGAATGCGAGGAGAATAATTGATTGTGATTCGCTCATTTCTTATGGCTTAAGACTGAAAATCCTATTGTAAATCCGGACTAAACCAGTCATACGGAATGAGTGTTCCGTCGATAACTCTATTGTCTGTTTTGCCGATTAAATGTAATAATTTATACGTATAACAATGGCCTAGTTTACATCGAGCACTTGATACGCATATTAACTAGTAACTTTCTATTAAATTGTCTTAATTTCAGCAATGTATTTAAAGAATAATGTATATTAAATTGGTACAGTATGCATTAAATTTAATTAAATACACATATCATGTATGTACATATATGTTTACACATATCGCTGAAATTAAGATAATTCAATAGAAAGTTACTATGATACCGTATTATACAAGTGCACGATGTAAATTAGAGAGGCCAATTATTTTTTTCTTTTACAGAGTCGAAAATCTTTTTCCAAGATTAAAGTCTACACTGCACTAAATGTGTGAGGTGGAATTATACCAAGACGAAAAAAATTGTTTAAATTTAGATCTTTACCGTTTCTTAATCCAATATGGTATCAAAGTTGTCAATACCGTAATAACATTTATTTGATATAAAAATTTTTTAATCTATTTACGAAATTGTGATTTACAGACTATAAGTAATTTACATGAACGCAAACAATGTGAAGTTCTTAGAATTAGACTTACGTCTGTTTATACTAATGTAGTTTAATTTTAATTTCAATTCGACTATGTAACTCTTCATCTTTTTCTAATTCTAAAAATTATAAAAAAATGAAGAGTAATTATAGTTGAACCGAGATTAAAGTTAATCTACATTGATAAAAACGGGAATCAGAATTTAATTAAACCGCTGTTATTTTGTGGAAATTATGTACTTATATGTGCGTGTGAGATATTGCTATAGTATATAAAAATACGTCGCATGTTATTGGTAAAACAGCGATCTCATCGGAGTTCGAATTTTACTTTAGAATCCTCTTAAGTAGTCACCACAGCCATATTGAATCGTGACGTCAGGAGCAAGAAATGACACATTAATTTTTGTTACGTGCCATTTGTAAATGAAAACAATTTGGATAAAACAAAATAATGAGATCGCTTTAAAACATTTGTAAAAATAAACGGAAATCATTATGATTATCTCCTCTGACAGTCAGTAAATAATCGTTAAAAAAAAGTGATAAAAGACATGTGTAAGTTAAAATAGATTACGCATGCGCGTTGAATAAAAGCATTTCATGTGCCTTTTATGACTTTATGGCCGGTATTCATAGGCCGGTATTCATAGTCGGTTCTTATTTTAAGATCGTCTTAAGTAATGTCTTAAGTCGCTAATGCGGCCTTCTGATTGGTTCATGACATCTTAAGACTGTACTTAAGACGGTCTTGAATATAAGATCTGACTATGGCCGGTATTCATAGGCCGGTATTCATAGTCGGTTCTTATTTCAAAACCGTCTTATAGCGTTTTCGATTGGGAAAAAGTTAGTGCGCACTCAGTTCACACCAACTCTGGACGAGTTCCATGGGTTGCACTGAATAGTGCAAGTTCAAAAGAACACGCCAAGATTTTCAGTGTTAAAGTTGAAGTACCATTTCGAGTTGTAAGATTGTAAGGACTTGACTAGACGGTAGGAAGAACGCAGAAAAATAACTTCGACATCTCATGTTCATAACTTTAAGTAATGATTTTTTACTATATGTAATTAAATAATATATAAAATATCAAGAATATCATATATGTACATACTTATCAATAATTGTACATATTTGTATATGTTGCGTTTTCAGTTTAACTGTGTTACTTGCTCTACTGTATATACTTATACTGTGACAAAACAATGCACTGATATCCTATACAGTATCAGTGTATCCAGTGCACTGAACTGGCACCGTTAAACTGGAAACACAATAGACAGGGAATAACGAGCCGTCCAATCAGACCTCTGGGATATAATATCGAACTTATATCCCAAAGCTCTGATTGGACAGCTCGTTATTCCCTGTTGCCTGTGCCTATTGCCTGTGTCTATTGTGTTTCCAGCTTTAGTGCGCACTACGCAAGTGTTGTGCGGTCAAATGAACACGTGACACTAGTCAAGTACGCATTGGTACGCAATCGAACACGCTCTTGACACTGAGTGCAGCCAGTGCACCCCAATCGAAAACGCTACTAGATTGGACTATAAATTTCACTTTTGATTTTATCAGCAACATGTCTTTCCTTCCACTAGAGCACTAGAAACGTAGGTATTAGGGCCTGAGCACAATAGAGGAACAGGAATTAGATATTAAGATTTTAACCTATCAGAAACTGATTACATCGGAATACACGGTTTCTGATAGGTTGAAATCTTAATATCTAATTCTTGTTCCTCTATTGTGCGCAGGCCCTTCGCGTCCACCATTTTTATTCCTTTTCCCACTCATTGCTCTATCCCCATTCCATCACTGAATCAGTGACTGTGACGGGTTATGGTCATTACAGGTTATGATTTGTATTTGCTGCTTGAAATTTTGTAGCTCCTTTCATTCCTACAAGGTTTCCAACAGCTTAGAAGCTATAACCTATAACAATCGTATAACGCCGATAACCTTAGGTGCGTTCCGTAACGCGCATGATGCATCCATTGTCCTTGTTTAACATTTGGTGAGCAACAAGGATAAACGACGCATTATACGCATCATGCGAGAAACGGAACGCACCCCTTCTCAGCTCAGCGGCGAAGTGGGGAAAAGAGTAAAAATGGCGGATATGCGAATACTCACGTTTATAGTGCTTTACTTCCACACCAGCAGATCTATTCTGTAACTCTTAACACAAATTTCGTTATCATTATAACGCCATCGTTATCATTGTTACGCAGCTTTTTTACCATGATGAAAGAGCTGCGCAGCAGCGTTATAATGATAACGAAATTTGCGTTGAGAGTTACAGAATAATCCTGCTGGCACACGGAGATTGGTCAAGTTTCTGGCGTGCAATTCGAACCACGTAGCACATGATTCATATTTCATACTACAAGACGTTACCAGGTCTGTTCTTTATACCGTATTACGTTATATTCGTCGTATTATCTGAAATCGAAACACGTATGTACAATTGAGGACGTATGTACGATTGAAGATGGATTGAAAAAGGGAAAAGACAGAAGATACAAAAAAGCAAGGAATTCAGCTATAAAGAACAAATCTGTTGGTGTGTTTTGTTCTCCGTAATCGGCCGCAAGTTTCTCATGAGAACCGCCTTAAAACAACGCCTGGTGGACGGGATTTCGTAGTCGCTTCGTTGCCTTGTTTCCGTCATTCTTTCATGGTACGGATCGTGTACACCGAACAAGCAATAATCGTCGCTCGCATTCGACGCAGTGCATCAGTCGGGATTTCGAGATACTGCAAGCGGAACGTAAATCATAAGTCGCAGAGACAGACCGAAAGACTGATAGTCGGGACCGCGTGTTATACACGAGAACGCTTTTTTTCCGAAGCGTAACGAATAAAGAAGCGAAGATAGAGGTAGAGCGAGAGGGAGAGCGAGAGAGTGTGAGAGTGTGAGTGAGAGAGAGAGAGGGCGAGAGAGAGAGAGAGAGAGAGAGTGAGTGAGAGAGCGAGAGTGTGTGAGGAGAACGAAGCGGCAGCGCGGCATTGCACCGTAGAGGAAAACGGTTCTTCGACGCGGTCACTGGCGCTGCGAGAAGTCGGCGAAATCATTGACATTGGGGAACGGCCATTTTGGCGTGTTGTTTCCCACCGATCGAGTGCTCGAGGCGTGCACACATACACACGGAATCGACGTCCATTCGTTTTCAAGGTAAGTGAGGAACACGCGGACGATGGTGCGCGTCCACTCGCGACTCCCGCATTCCATCGTTCCCGTCGACCCGGCGTCTCCTCGCGCTAGTATCAATCCATTTCGACACCGGGCCTTAACGGTATTTGCCCCGTTGGGCCTTTCCGTTGCCTCTCGAGAAACTTCCAAGCGTGAAACGGAATATTCCAGTCGCGATCTGATCTATATAAAAAAATAGGAAGAAAAAAGGAACCCCCTTAGAGCGATTAGCGTCCGTTGGAACCACGCGGGAACAGAGCGAGCCGGCCACGGTATATTTAATAACGCGCAAATCGCGTTCACGAGTCTGCCCTTATCGACGGTTCGAACGGTTGCGCGTTTGAAATTCCCCCGAATTCGACGAGCGGCGTATCTGTTACCATTAATAATCAGGGGCAACTCGCGATTAAACGAGCAGCGATACCTTCTGTTGTCGGTTCTCTTTGAATTTCTGTGCCTTCAAAGTGATTAAGTTTCGTCATTCGGAGATATAACGAGATAAGTTTTAATATCGAGATTGTTCCTTTGTTTCTCCGTCGCGTATCAGTAAGACTTTGAATACATTCCGCACACAATACGTCTCGACCATATGAATCTTGAAGCACTGAAAGCCTCTCCTTTTTAACGTGTATTATTTATTGCACGATTAAAATGAAAGTTTACTTGGGTCTATAATCTTTTTGTATACTTTAAAATTAGCTTACGTAATTCTTTCTTTCTAAGGTGATTAAAATAGATTAATATATTATATAAACAGCTATGCAATTTTCATTTAATTGTTTAATAAATTTCGTGCTAATTAGAAGTTACAAATGAAAGAGAAATCGAATTTTTTGTAGCACAGTTAACTGTTTCATCTACAAAGTATTTATACTTGTGCCTTCTATATCCAAACACACAAAAACACTTGACATATTTGAATGTATTCATAACGAACACAGTACCTAAAGGCATACAGTCACTGTAGGTCAATTTTGTTTGGTTTTGTTCTCCTTCTGGCTTTCTATTCAGACGTTATTACAAATCCTGGTACATACTTTTGAATATGTTTATAAGATCAGAGCTGTTATGATTACGGTATAATTGTTAATATTCTATAAGGCATGCAATGCCTTATATAAGTATAAATATTTTATAACGGAAAAACACGAATTGATAGAAAAGTATAATAAATGAATTTATGTGTAGCTTTAAATTTCACAAAAATTACACAAAGAAATTATTGCGATAATTTTAGGTAGTGTATATGTATGTATATATATGTATATATATATATATATGTGTGTGTGTGTGAGATCATGATGTTTTCTTTCTTCTTTTTTTCGTCAGGAAAAGATAGTAGACAATACTACAATATTTCCAAAATGATGACCGAAACGCATATGAACTCTAATCATATGTTAAACTCTGGTTTGTCTAACAAATCAGAGATAGATAAAATGGATGATGTTGGTTGGAAAGCGAAATTAAAGATTCCACCAAAGGATAAAAGAATTAAAACAAGTGTGAGTTAATACAAAAAAGTTGATATAAAAGGTTGATAAATTACTAAGGAAAAATTAATAAATTTTTATATTATATTTTTAAATTTGAATTATTCTTAATTTATTTTTAATTTATTTTTAAATTTTTTAGATAAAAAATGAATCTTTGAAATTAATTTTCCTATTACCTCTGTAGATAGAGATTCTTCAAAGCATTCAAGTTTTTTAAATTGGAATTTACTTTGAAATGTATGTTACAGGATGTTACCGACACACGTGGTAACGAGTTTGAAGAATTTTGCCTAAAACGAGAATTATTGATGGGAATTTTTGAAAAGGGATGGGAGAAACCATCACCGATCCAAGAAGCTAGTATTCCCATTGCACTTTCTGGTAAGGACATCTTGGCACGCGCGAAAAATGGAACTGGTAAAACTGGAGCATACTCAATTCCAGTGCTGGAACAGGTACGATAAATCGGCAAAAGAGAAGTATAATAAAGATGTTTACTTGAAGAGAAATTTGTTTTGAATGTTGTATGCTTAATGTCATATATTGCTGCTTTAGGTTGACCCAAGGAAAGACGTAATCCAAGCACTGGTAATTGTGCCCACAAGAGAATTAGCGCTACAAACATCACAGATTTGTATTGAGCTCGCAAAGCACATGGATATAAAAGTTATGGTTACTACTGGAGGAACCAACTTACGAGACGACATTATGAGGATTTATCAAAAAGGTAAGATATCTAGAGTAAAGTGTATACAATTTATCAATAATCTGCATTAAATTAATTTACCGATGTATAACTCGCGTAATTTATATTTTCAGTACAAGTGATAATCGCAACGCCAGGAAGGATCCTTGATCTGATGGAAAAGAATGTAGCAAATATGGAACATTGTAAAATTCTAGTTTTGGACGAAGCAGACAAACTGCTGTCACAAGACTTTAAAGGAATGTTGGATCATGTAATATCGAGGTATGTTTATACAGAAATGTGACATTTTATTTTACACAGAATTTCTTTATTTAACCATACACTCCTTTTATGGTAGATGGATAACTATGACAGGGGGGGTTGCCACAAAACTGGAAATCAGGGAAATATCAGGGAAATTGAAAATGGTCAGAGAAATCAGGGAAAAGTCAGGGAATTTTGCAAAATCTTCTGGAAAATTAAAATTCTTGGCTTTAGAAGTTTAATATGCGTACTTTATACCGATGCAGTTTTGGAATACTACCAACTTAACAATTAAATACAAGCAGTGTCAGCAACACTAATATAGTGATTTACATAGATATGTTAAATTGCTCTCTCAACAAAATATTTGATTTCCAAATCGGGACAAAAATACAAAAGAATTCAAAATATTGAAATCATCAGGGAAAATTGTGAAATTTTATTTTGAAAATCAGGGAAAAATTATGGAATTTTAGGATGAGGAATTTGTGACAATCCTGTAAGAATTATGCAGAAAAATATCACAAATTCAATATTTTTATGTATGAGAGACAATTAAAGTTGAGGCAATTATAACATGTTTGTTTCATGTACTCATACTTGTAATGCTGCATTTTATATTTAATTAAACTGCCTGAAATGTGAAATGTCTTATCGAATTGAGGCATGTTGCAACATATTCACATTCTCTAGTGCGTCAAACTGACTAATCAGTGACTAATTTTAATTGGCTCTCGCATAAAAATTTACTAAAGTTTTACTATTTATTTCATTCGCAATTTTAATTGATATTGTTACCATACTTTCCATTGGGTATTATTAAATCTGATAAATTTTGCTAATATAGAAATGTTTACTTATGTCACACGCGTAATAAAATACTATCAGTTATTGAAAATAACCATTTATACTATTTACTACTCTTGGTTGGTATTACTTCTTGATATTTGTTAGTTGTATTATTTTCCTTATAGATTACCACACGAACGTCAGATTCTGCTGTATTCAGCAACGTTTCCTTTAACTGTGAAACAATTTATGGAAAAACACTTGAGAGATCCATATGAGATTAATTTAATGGAAGAGTTGACTTTAAAAGGCGTAACACAATACTACGCTTTTGTACAGGAACGACAAAAAGTTCACTGCCTTAACACGCTATTCTCCAAGGTAATGCTAATAAACTGAATTTAATTTTAATTTGATGCATGTATTCAAAGTAAATGTATTATTAATTTATATATTTTATAGCTGCAAATAACGCAAAGCATAATCTTCTGTAATTCAACGCAACGTGTCGAATTATTGGCTAAGAAAATAACAGATCTTGGGTATTGCTGTTATTATATACACGCGAAAATGGCGCAGGCACACCGAAATCGCGTATTCCATGATTTCCGTGCAGGATTATGCCGAAATCTCGTAAGTTAATCAAAAGATGTCCATTTTACTTTGTAAAATCTTATTTAAATTCTAATTATATACGTAATAATTACATTATCTCTCTCATCCAAGTGATATACATACTGAAAAAATTGTACTAGTATATCTGTATGTGATTCAATTTTTTATTAAAATTGTTATTAAATATAAATTCTTTTTTATAGGTGAGCAGTGATCTATTTACTCGTGGTATTGATGTTCAAGCTGTGAACGTCGTAATCAACTTTGACTTTCCGAAGATGGCAGAGACATATCTGCATCGAATCGGCCGATCTGGAAGATTTGGCCACTTAGGTATAGCAATTAACCTAATCACGTATGAAGATCGCTTCAATCTACACCGTATCGAACAAGAGCTTGGAACAGAAATTAAACCTATCCCAAAGGTGATAGACCCCAGTTTGTATGTGGCGAGACCAGAAGACAATAATAGTATGGAAGAGGGTAATGTGTCCAAGTAGTTTCGATGCACTGTGGTAAAACGAAGCTTTACACACGCTCAAAGAGTTTAAAGTGTGTGAAAGTGTGTCAAAGAGTGAGTTCACTTGTAAATAAAGCGTACTATGTATGAGTAATAATGAGCTGAGTGATCGAAGTGTCGCGCAAATGTCGATGCGAATCTTTGTACATAAATACATACATTTAAATGTACATAAGCTAAAACAAATCAGAGTCAAGCCATTATCAAGATGCACAATATGTAAACAGATATGTGAATAACGTAATAATCAATCATTGCATTTTATCATAACTGTAAATACTACATGCGAGGACATATAATATCGTTTTAATAGAGGATTTTTATACAACGGCTTCATTCTTCCAGTATTTTTTTTCTTCTGTTCTTTAACGATGAAGAAAAAGGGCATATGATTTAGAAAATCTATCGGGCCAATCTCACCGAGTACAACATACCGATTCACGTGCTCATTACTTTTGTACTGTGTCATGCATATATATATAAATTGTCCTTAACATCAGTAAGGTCGTGTATATATATAAATATATATAAATAAATTGCCCTTAGCGATTTATAAAATTTGGATATATTAAATATCAGTTGTAATATTTGATCATGGCTTGATTTTGCTATTTGTCAAGATTGTAATACAACTCTGAAATTCAAATCACTTGTCAACACTTAAACTGTCTTTTTTCTGTTTATTCAACAACTAGTGAAATTTTCTTTTTCTTTTTTTTTTAAATGCAATTTGATTTTCTTTTTACCATGTCGTGATTGGGAATCAGAGGTTGTACAATTGACTAGTTTTATATAATTATTTTTTATAAAGAACTGGCTGGTGGACTCCACAACAAAAATAGAGATTCTATGGCTGATGCTGATAATAATATATGTCCAATCACAGCCTATATTTAATTATACAACAGTCTATCAGGGGCTAAAATTGAATTTAAAAATTGTGAAGGTTGTTAAAATTAATGAAAATGCGCGGAAGACGGAATAAATGAATCGCAAGTGAATGCACATGAGGGCGCAGCTCACACTGGAATGTGAATGTAAGGTGCATTATGAACGAATACTCTATCTGTCGTGAAAGATAAAATAACTGCCAAAGTTATTGTATTGATATCGACATAGAATCTCTAGAGATCTCCATAAAAATATGGATAAGCACGAAGAAGAGTAAAAGAGGTGCAGGAAATTACTGTTTCGTATGCATGACTGTGTAGTTAAAATTTAAGAATTCGAAAGCCACCAGCCAAATATGACTTAGGTTTTTGGATGTGAAAAGTATGGAACAATCTGCGTACCAAAATATTTCATATTTGAGAGGAAAGAATCCTCTTTGAATGGAATATTAGTGATATAGAAGGAAGTTTAAAATGTATTTAGGGCTGTAATATCAGAAACTGTGAGCTTATCACGGGAAAAACTGTAGATAATAGATAAACAGTAATGAGTTAACTGCTGACACAAAAAAAAGAAAATGAAATTGCTAACAATTGGACATTTAAACAGATTTGTATAGAATATATTGATCTGGACGAATGGTTGTTCATGCTCGCTGCCTTCAACCTTCGACCAATATATGTAATTTTTGTTTATAGCGACACCAAGTACATGGCTTAAGTTTGACGCAAGTTCAAAGTACATTTTCGAGTTCAGATATATTCCGCGAGTCTCCATTTTCGTAGAGTACAATCGTAGCTCCGCTAGTTAAATGTCAAGAAATAGATTCGCATTTTTGTGAAATCTAATGTAAATGAATACATGCGTTATCATATTCACGAATTAGCTTATCATGAGCTTTGCAGATTGTCTTGTGGTCTTGCAAGATAATTTATTTTACATATACGACTCTACGATTCTGGAAAATTTATACACTCTTGATCGCAAATGCCATAAATCTGACTCGTCAATGTAATATGAAAAAAGAAGTCTTTAGGTAAACATCATTGCGCGATTATCACTTTTGTTTACCGCGGATTTATAAATTGCAAAACGATCGTTTATCGAGGATTTATTGCAAAGCGAGTTTTTAGTTGCCAAATGATCGCAACCGGGTAATAAGTTGCAAAATAATGGCAATTGGGCGATGAGTTGCAAAATAATCGCAATCGGGTAAAATTGCTAAATAATCACAACCGGGTTATAAGTTGCAAAGTGATCGCATTTGCGACTTATTACCCGATTTGCAGACATGTATACGTGCATTCGTGATCTATGCGCGATTGAATGAAAGAGGGGTAAATTAATGTAATATAATGAATCACGCAAAGATTATTGTGTGAAACAGAAAGCAGTACTATAATTGAAATACGTCGAAATATGATGTACCAAACCGCGTCTTTCTATTTTAAATTTCTATTTGCTTCCTCGATAGTCTTCGATTCAGCAAAATTTTTCTAACGTATTTGGCTACCGTTATAACTATACCGGCAGATAAATATCGAATGAGAAGTCAGTGTTGATATTGCAACAACTTTGTTATCGGTAATGTCCACTAACGATTACAATCGGATAATCTACTCACAACACTGTCTTCTACTTAACGGAGATAACGAAAACAAAAATAATCTGCCAGATAATGATGATGCCGTTGACCACATATAATATGAACAACCAGAGCAGACCGGAAGACCAGCAATTATATCTGCTACGATTTGATAATTTATTAGGTTCTTTTTTGTGTCACTGTTGCAAAGATACTGTAATGAATTAAACTAACGTGCGATCTTGTTGATCAAATGATCTGTCGCCCACTGCATATTAATTTGATCAATCGGAATTGCATATGATTGCGTCATAGTCTAATATTACGGTCCCTCTTCATTTTTATTATCTACTTAATATATAAACAAAACGTAAATGGGTTCAATATAATAACAGTCGTTTCGCCAAACAATTTAATCTGCGAAATTGTTCCCATTTACAAACTACAAAAATCTGCTCTTATTCTATTAGCTTCTATTGTTTTGCTTATATGGCGATTCTTTGAAAATTTTTTTGGCAATATTACGTAGACTAAGAAGAAAATACTTAGTCTTACTGTGCTGTAATTGGAAACATCGATAGATCCATTTTATGGAGTCTATTTTGCGAAATGTATTTTATTCAACTTTTGAAAGAGTCAATTAGCTCGTGCTAATACACAAGTATAAAGAATTTTCATTTTTTTAAATAAGAATTTTACAAACTATATTCTATATTCTAATTAAAATTATTTCCTACTGATACTTAGTGAGCTCTAATGATCATCTATAATGATCGATGCACGATGTGTTTGTATATTTCAAAGACTTTTAAACAAAAACTCGTCCATTTATTAATATTAAAATTCTATAAAATTACGTGCTGTACTTGACTCTTTCTAAAGAATGATGTTTATGCGAGATATATAAACTTAGAAAAAAGTGGGCTTAAAAAATCCAAAAAAAAAAGAACATTGATTAGCAATGTTATGTGAGCAGACTGAAGAACGTGGTATAATTATAATCTCTATTCTCTCTTGCAGCCGTACTTATACATATATCATCGTTCTTATATTCCAAATTACAGACGAGTATCCTTTTTGCGAAAAAAAAATACTGGAAAATAAGTTGATTAGCCTGTTTCGCAGCTGCAAGTTGCCAAAGTAAATATTTTTTACCACGTCTTCATGTCTGATTCATGAAGTATATCCAAGTGCGGTTTTCAACCAATCTTGGATATAACAAGGAGTGCTCTTGATATGAAAGTAAGCGAATGTAATTCGTACGTAGAAATACGATTTCGGAAGTAAATGTGTTAACATCCGGGTAACGTGCGAGAATTGCGGAGGACTCTCCAATTCCATCCGGGGGAGGGTAAATTCTACTTCTCAATGTCTACGATTTAAATCGTAAGTGTGAAGGGGAACATCTTGAGAACGAGCTCTCTAACAGCATCTCGTAGATCTCGTACCTTCGCCTGAATTATTTCCATTGGTTAACCCAATGTGGCGAGCTGTGTGCAAGCACATTCCCAACAAACGAACCGAGAATCGATCGCATCGGAAGTTTAACATCTAAATGAACAATCCGCGTTCGAATAACATACGCAGCTCGATTAATGATATTGGAATTAGATCTCCAATATACGTGAAATATAAAAAAAAAACAAAAAAAGTATAATTCGTTTGAAATGTAAAACAGTATCAGTTTATCAACTATCCATGCTTACCGTTTTGTTAAAGAACTTATTATTATATACATTTGTTTATCAAATTACGAAACCAATCATCCAAATGGCATACCTGATGAACGGCTACTATAATAATTAATGTGATACTATTTTGTTATTATTAATATTATTGCTACTATTATTAACGAGATATGAACCAAGATTTTTCGACAATATGTAACGGACATCGATTTATTTTGTGACGTTGAAATTTGAGTTTCGGTTATTCGTAAATTATACAAGCAGCATAAGATTGCGAAATTTTTCTTACATACCTTTGCTGTGTTTATATTTTATAATTGATACAATTAGGATTACATTAATTAATGAAACAGGAAAGTGCGTCCCTAAAGAACGGTACATGATAAAGTGATTTCGCGATATTATGCAACTTGCATATCTATTTACAAATAACTCGCGACTCGTGCGTAATTGTGCGCGGATGAAATACTTTTCCTGTATTTCTGATTTTTATGTGCATTTGTCAAGACAATTATTCTCGTTAGGTGTTACCGTTTTGGAAGCAATCCGTAAATGATATAAAACAAAATTATTCAAAAAATTTTCTTGTTCTACGTAACGTTATCATTTTTCTTTCTCCAAATTGTAAAGATGGGTTTGCGCGTGACTATAAAACATTTTTTTTTTATTTGTCTTCGGGATTCTGTTAGCACAAACCCATTCTAATGAGTCGTATGTCAATTTTGTTTCCTTGAAAGGACAGAACTGTCTCTAAATAAAAATTCTGTTTCAGTACACACGGTGCACGACTTTTTTTTTGCATTGTATAACCCGAGATACTTGATTGCGTCCCAAGCTTTTTTCCTCTTACGTAAAACGATCCCGTCTCATGTGGTCTCAAGATTATTAGATAAACAGGGTGAATTTTCTATGTAACTTGAATTTTCAAGACTATGTCGGGAATCGCGTCCTGAATTTGTTAACTACTAAGGCATTTTTTACCCAGAATTTTAATTAAGATGTTACTACGCTATTAAAAACATCGTCTTTGCTTAAATTGTATCAATATACAGTCATTTACAAATTAACATAAATGTGTATATATATATATATATCAGGGTTGGGAAGTAACGCGTTACTTGTAACGACGTTACTTTTTCGTTACTTTTTCGTTATTCTTTTTTAGTAACGCCGTTATTTTTTTTATTAGTAACGAAAAAAGTAACGACGTTATATTTTCTTTAGTAACGAGTAACGAAATTGACCTCGTTACTTGT